CCTTCCTTCCTTCCTTCCTTCCTTCCTTCCTTCCTTCCTTCCTTCCTTCCTTCCTTCCTTCTGTTCATCCATCCATCTTTTCTTCCATCAGTCCGTATGTCCCTCTATCCATTCATCCATATGAGAAGATATTCTGAAACTTCTTTTCAGCTTCCTCCAAATAGTAAAAGTGTTGAAGAGCCAAAGGTGGGGTAGGTGTTTCCTCAGTGGTGTTCTCAGATCAGTCTTCCTCCTGAATTCTACAGCTGTCTTGGAGATGAAGGTGTTTGTGTAGGACCAAGTTTTCTGGTCTTAATCCTGGTATGAGGTCTTGGTGATTGAAGCGACAGCTTCAGATGAAGTGGTGGTGTTCAGTACATGGACAGCCTGTTGTACAGGTTTGAAAACATGAGGACTCATGTTTAAACACTGTGAGCTCTTAATACCAGAACAAGCATGGAGCAGACATTACAGCTGGTTGTCTCATCATTATTACATCGCAAACAGCAGGAGTTGTTGACCTGAAACAGGTTAGTCCTGGCTGTTAGCTGCGGAGTCCCTTCATGTTAAGCAGAGGAAACTCCACAGAGTGCCAGAGCTTTAGCTGCTAAAATCAACATGCACCTCCTGTGGGGTTTCTGCTGCTGCGCCGACACTATCAGCATCCTAATCTATGGAGCTGGAAGTCGACCATGGCTCCTGCTGAGCACCAGCTGTTCTGCATCAATCTGCCCTGTAATCACATGCACTGGATGGAGTCTTGAGTTTACATTATTACTGCTGTGTTTGCATTTAAATAGTGGAACAGGAGACTTTTGACTGGATGGCTGAGATTTATTAATTATTACTAAAACCCAAACATACAAAACCAGATTTTTCTGGTTCTAACTTCTTTCATTTTTATTTCCTGTTGACTGAAAAGCCTACGAGTCCCCTCAGTTTTCCTGGTTTTCGTGCACATCCAGTGTGGGAGCGCTGCCACTGAGCGCTCTGTAATCTTTTAGCCTTAATAAAAAGGTCAGAGGGCCGTGAACGCATCGCTGAAATGCACAAATTCCCTCCTATTTTTATCTCCCTGTTTGAAGCTCATATCCTAAATGAAGCGAGTGGATGTGACAGTTCAGATCATCGGGGCTGTCACAGCTGCTGCTTCCGTTTAGACTGTGAAGATAAACTCAAACTCAGAGCAGCCGATTTATTTTTCCTGCTGGGATTAAAACTGTTAAACCAGTTCAGAATTTGAAGTGTTATCAGAACAGACTGGTGTGTTCCTCCCGTCTGTGTGAGACTCCTTGTGCTGTTAATGGATCAGTACCAATGAGCTCGATGGCAGTCGAAGCGTGATCTACACCCAGAAACCATCTGTGGAGGTCAGCTTTGTTTCTGAGGGGCTGCTGGCGTCACTCGGTGTGGCTGATCGTAGCTCTGCGGGCTGCACGCCAGGCCCGGCGGCTGCAGATTAAAGCTGGAGGCGGTTCTTTCTGTTTGCAGCTCAGATTAGCACCGATCTGTTCCGCCATCCCACAGCTGTTACCCCACAAACTCTGAGCAGACGGAAAGATGAGGAGAGACCCAAAAACTGCAGACGGCCTTTCTGATCATTATTTAAATTCTGTTAGAGACACAGTTTATCAGCCCGAGCCTTAATGTCTGTTGCTTTTACTTATTATTTATTTATTTATTATACATTTATTCATCCGTTTTTTTTGTTTGTTTCCAACTCAGAAACACAGTCTGGAGCTGACTTTGTGACCTGATTGATGCTCTCAGATCATCTGATTAATAAATACTGTGGAGAATTTTTCTGTGGCATATTAAAAACAATGAAACTAGCATTTTTTTGATGGAATGCATATCATCTGTTGACTTGCATCCCAAAGTTTTAAAACAAAGATCTCATGCAATCTGTTAGTACTCAAAGTATTTAATGAGGATCAGCTTCAGCTACTGCCACACCAAAGTGGAGCTGAATAAAACTGACTGAATTATAGCCATTTATGTGTTTGTTAAAGTATAGTGTGAAAGCTCATGAAGCATTCACGCTATCGAGATCCATTTTATTCCGTATGTTTTTCCAGCATCTTTCTCGTTCCACAAGTTTTGTGCTACTTCAACAAATCACATATCAAAACGTTCAGCTCATTCAGAAGAGGGGTGCTTGACTTTTGGGATTGGTGCAACTTTAGCTTAATGAAACATTTAGCCTTTTCTGCCTTTTTTCCTCATAGGAAATTAACAGAGCTCATTTTGGATCCTTCGAATCTTACTGCTCCTTTCACATTTTTTGGTCCAGCTTCTTTCAGCTTCCTTGTGCAAATTCAAATATTTTTTCAGCTGCTTTCAGCTACTTTAAGCTGTTTTTTTTCTCAACTGTTTTGTGCTCCTTTCGTATTCTTTCTGCTAACTAAAACATTTCTGTGCTTCTTCTAACTTCTTTCTGCTAATTTCAGCTTGTTATGCTCCTTTCTGCTTATTTCTGCAAGTTTCCGCCTTTTCTGCTATTTCAGCTTCTATTTAGCTTTTTGATGCTAATTTTAGCTTTTTTGTCTAATTCCACATTTTTTGTACTCATTTCAACTGTTTTCAGCCTAATTCAGAAAAATGCACTATCTTCACTTCCTTCTGGTAATTTAAGCTTCTTTTAGAAATTTTTAGCTACTTTTCAGCTTTTTTTATGCTAATTCCAGCTTCTTTTTTTTTTTTAGCTAATTTCCTTATTTTTGTGATCATTATTTACAAAGTAAATCTAATTAGGCAAATGTGTGTTATTTCTGCATTCTTCTGCTAACTTAGGCTTTTTCTTCAATATCAGCTACATATCAGCATGTTTTTAGCTAATTTCAGCTGCTTTTCAGCAATTTCTTCAGCAATAAGCATTCACAATGTTTTTTTTCGTAGGAAATGCAATTTCTCTTGTTAGACATTACATTAAGTTTATTAAATCTGTCAGATTCCAGATCTCTGTGTGTGTAGTTGTCAGTCTGAATCTCATTGATTTTTTGGTTAAAATAACTTGGGCAGTTTTAGGTTTGCTTATGATCCGGTGTCTGTTCTGCAGGTCCTGCCATCCCTGTTGGAGTGGATGTCCAGGTGGAGAGTTTAGACAGCATTTCGGAGGTGGACATGGTAAGAAAACTTCCATGTTGTCAGGAATGTAGCAGCATGATGGGGAAACATGGGACTTTTTATTGGATCATGAGCATTCCCGTCTTTCCAGCAGTCCTTCACATTTATTCTGTGACCCCCCCACCAGGACTTCACCATGACGCTGTACCTGAGACATTACTGGAAGGACGAGCGTCTGTCGTTCAGCAGCAGCACCAACAAGAGCATGACGTTCGACGGTCGCCTGGTGAAGAAGATCTGGGTCCCTGACGTCTTCTTTGTGCACTCTAAGAGGTCCTTCATCCACGACACGACGACCGACAACATCATGCTGCGCGTCTATCCTGACGGACACGTGCTCTACAGTCTGAGGTCAGTGTCATTTAAAGTCTAAATAATTACAAACGAGACTGAAATGTCACCAGGTTAGAATAACAAACATGTTATTGTCATCTAGGAGGAACCAGAGTCTGTGCCATAATGCACAACTCCACTTCTGACAAAGACCTGAAGAAATAAAATCTGAAGTGCTTATTTTCTTCAAGTACTACATTTCTTCTAACTTCTTGATCAAATGCTGATAATTCATCATATAAAAGTTTTTAAAACACAACTGGCTGATAAGTGACTTAACATGCGTCTACAACTTTTCTAAGAAGACTCATTAATCATCGTCAGGCAGTCTTTGTATTTGTCTTTTCTCAGTTGAAGACTTTTCTAAGACGATAAGAGCAGCCTGACTTGGTATGTTTGTTGAAATCATCTTCCCTTCATCATGAAACATCACATAATCACATCTGGATGCTGCACCAACAGTTCAGTCAGAGCTGAAGGAGTCTTTCTCTCTGAGAACCGACATCTGTCTCCTCCTTTTCCTGATAGAAACCGTTAGGAAGCAAATCTGAGAGCAGCTGCGGCCGTTTTTATTGCATCGTATTCACGACACATCACAGGCTGCAGCTGTAGCAGTAAATTATCGTTCAGTATAATAAATATGAATTAATATCAGAGAAGAAAAAGAAACTTGTCCGAAGAAAACAACTGTAAATAAAGGCTTAGCAAACACCTTTCATGTTTGAGCTTTAAACTAGTATTATGTCAGAAGGTGTTGCACAATCTGTAAGTGCTTGGACTATGTGTTTTAAATTACTCCCAGCTACTACCACATCAAATTTTAGCTTGATACGCTTAAAATTGACAGAGCTGTAGCCATTTTTGTGTTTGCTAAGGTTGATTAGCTGTGACGGCCATCTTGAATCAAGCTGGCTCTAAAAGTTAATCAGTCGTAAATGTACATCCAATGATTACTTTCTGGGAGTTTTATTAAAATTCATCCAGTGTTTTATGAGATATTTTGCTAACAGACAGAAAGCGTTGACTCCTACAATTAATACCAAAGTTTTAAGCGTTTGTATGATCCAACACATTGTGTTTGGAGTATGTCTTGGGAATGACTCTCTGCTATCACCACACCAAATTTTAGCTTCATATCTGTAAAACTGACGGATTTATAACCTTTTTATTGTTCGCTGAGGTTGATTATCTGTGGTAGCCATATTGGATCAGGCTGACTCCAAAAGGTCAACAATTTAAGATGATTTCCAGAAATTACTTTATGGAAAATGTCATTGAAATTCATGCAGTTGTTTATGAAATATTTTGCTAAGAAACACACTAATGATAAATTTTGATAAAATATTAGGAATGAAAGTAATAATAATGAAATTATTAGTTATAACAACAACAATAATAATAAACAGTTTGTTTAGCTTCAATGCTGCTGCTGCTCTTAGAGCATAAATATTTAAAAAGGAAATCTCCGTTCAGTCTGGAGATCCACAGCAGAATCAGTTTCTGTTAAATATTTTACTAACAGAAATTCTGTGAACAGGACAGGATGTTGGAGTCAGGGCGCTCCATCCGGTCCACGCCCCGGTGCATCGTGGTCTATAAAGATTTATAGATAAATCATAAGAACTCAAGTTTCGAATGCAGAAAATATGTTTACACGTTTGTCCTGATGGGAGCGGCCGGACCTTTCGCTCTGTCTGTGATTAAAGTTTTTGAACTTTTTTATGATGGTAATTTCTGAATTGGCAGGATTTTATTTCATTTGTATTTTTTTTTTTTTTTAAACTGCTGCTGAGGGTTTAAATAACGGAACAGCTGTTTATCCTCTGACAGGAGGCTGGTTTGGGCTGAAGCGCCCCCTCTGGAGTCACATGAGTACTGCAACAACAAGTGCAGATATATTTGTAAATAAATTATAAAAAGATGAAGGAAAGAGACTATTGATTTTTTTTTTTTAGTTTTTTTTTCATTTACATGTGATTTTTGTATCTCTGTTGGTTTTATTGATCATTTTCTGACTGAAGCAGTAGAAAATACAAAATCAATTTAGTTTTTTTTTGTGTAAATGCTTCTCATTTGTCTGTTTTATCTGCTGACCAGAGTCACGGTGACGGCTGCCTGCAACATGGACTTCAGCCGGTTCCCTCTGGACTCTCAGACCTGCTCGCTGGAGCTTGAGAGCTGTAAGTAAAACGTCTACTCGATCAAAACCTAAGACAGAATCTGGAAATTTAGAAGTTCAGTCATCAGAAGAAAGACGCTGCGGTGGAATTTTACTTCAAGGTCAAATTTGTTCATGAAAGCACTTTTAAAAAGAATTAAAAAAATGTGTTTGATCCAGTTTAATTTACAGCTAAAGCAACAAGGTCACCAGAGACAACAAGGTAAATATTAATTTAAAAACAAAGATGTAAAAACTAAAACCAGACTGAAAAAACTGACACTAACTTCAACTGCTAGAGTTAACTCCCTGTTAGTAAAATATCTCATGAACTACTGGATTTATTTTAATGAAACTCTCCGAAAGTATTTATTGGAGTCGACCCAATTCAAAATGGCACAACCTCCCCTCCCCCCAACTCTGTCACATTTACAGACATTGAGCTAAAATCTGCTGAGGTTGAACAGATTGCACAATATTTTGTGGTATACTGTGAAATAACCTTTACAATAAAGTTTTTCAATAACAACATTACATATTTTTTTTAGTTTGGAGGTATTTATCACAAACTCATGATTAAAAAAAAATCACAAGTGAAGCTAAATCCATGTTCTTATATTGACTCCTTAAATTTAAGGTTTGTAAGTAAAATATGCACCTAGATGCCAATATGTGTGCTTGTTTACCTATGAAAACAAACAAAGTAGCTGAACAAAGGTTGCTGGCCTATTTTTTACCTGCACAAACTACCGCCAGCCTAACACAGGTTCATCAGGTGACTCAGGCTTCCACATGGATTTTCTTGGATTTAGCCAAGTGCTTTGTGTATCACTTGTGCTGGTCCCAAGCCTGGGTAAATGGTAAGGGTTGTGTCAGGAAGGACATCCAATGTAAAACAGTTTTTGTCAAAACTAACCTCTGAGTTCATCTAAGCGATACCATACCAGATCAGTCGAGGCCCGGATTAACGATGACCGCCACTGGTGCTGTTGACTAACGGGTGCAGACAGAAATTGTGCTACTGTTAGTCGAAGACTACGAGGAGAGAAACGTGTCAGGAGACAGAGGCAGAAGAGGAAAGTGAAGAATGTAGGACTGAGGGTTGCAACTCTAAATGTGGGGACAATGACAGGTAACGGTAGAGTTGGCTGACATGATGCAGAGAAGGAAGGTAGATGTCTTATGTGTCCAAGAAACAAAGTGGAAGGACAGCAAAGCTTGCAGCATTGGAGCAGGGTTTAAACTGTTTTACCATGGTGTGGATTGAAATGGAGTAGAGGTGGTCCTGAAGGAGGAGTTGGCAAAGAATGTAGTAGAGGTGAAAAGAGTGTCAGATAGAGTGATGTGCCTGAAGGTAGAAGTAGAAGGTCTGATGTTAAATGTTAGTGGTTATGCTCCACAGGCCGTTTGTGATGTGGAGGAGAAAGATAAATTTTAATTAGGAAAGATCTAGATGAAATAAGAGAGTATTCCCAGAGAGGAGAGAGTGGCGATCAGAGCAGACCTGAATGGACATGTTGGTGAAGGAAACGGAGGAGATGAGGAAATGATGGGTAGTTTTGGTGTCGAGGAAAGAAACTAGGAAGGACAGATTGTGGTGGATTTTGCCAAGAGAATGGAAATGGCTGTAGTCAACGCTTATTTCCAAAACAGAGAGGAACATAGAGTGACCTATAAGAGTGGAGGCAGGAGTACACAGATCGACTACATTCTGTGTAGAAGTGGAAACATGTGGGAGATTGGAGACTGTCAGGTTGTGGCAGGGGAGAGCGTGGCCAAACAGCATCGGATGGTTGTGTGTAGAATGACTGTTGTTGTGGAGACGAGAAAAAGAGTACAATCAGAGAAGAAGACCAAATGGTGGAAGATGAAGAAGGAAGAATGTGTGAAATTCAGAGGGGGGCTGTTAAAGACTCGGAGTGATAAGAAAGAGCTTCAAGATGACCGGGCTACTACAGCAACAGTAATTAGAGAGACAGGTAGGAAGGATGTTAGGCAGGATGGGGTGGATGGAGAAAAGTTTCAGGAGTGATTTGTGACAAAAGGGTGTCAGAAAATTTCAAAAGAAAAGTTTACAAGACAGTTGTGGGACCATGTTGTATGGTCTGGAGACTGTGGCATTGACAAAAAGACAAGAGAAAGAACTGGAAGTGGCAGAAATGAAGATGTTGAGGTTCTCCTTAGGAGTGACAAGGATGGATAAGATTAAGAATGACATCATCAGAGGTACAGCACAGGTTGAACAACTGGGAGATAAAGTTGGAGAGGCCAGACTGAGATGGTTTGGACATGTCCAGAGGAGGGACAGTGGGTATACTGGTAGAAAGATGTTAGAAATGCAGCTGTCAGGAAAAAGACAAAGAGGAGATACATGGATGCAGGTAGAGAGGACATGGAGGCAGATGGAGTGAGGACAGAGTGAGATGGAGGAGGATAACTAAAAAGAAGAAGAAGAAGAAGCTTTAAAAAAAAAACTTGAGTTAAAGGTGGCGGGTGATATGCATTCCTTCATGAAACGCTAAACCTTTGAATTCATATTAAAGAACCAGCATCAGAATGGGGATCTTTTCATATTAACAGACAAACTTTGTGTTTCACGTTGTTATTTTCGACACCTCAAACAGTTTCCCAGCAGCCACCGCAGGCCCTTTCACCGAGGACCCCCCCCTCCCCACACGAACTGTTTGCAGCTTCAAAACATCAGCAGAAGTTTGAAGATGAAGATTTGAGGCGTGAAATTTACCAAAAGCAGAGATAAAAGCTGGAATTCAAGCTGGAGAGAAGAGCAGCTCACAGCAGGGGGTTCGACCTTCACATGTTTAATGAGCTCCACAGCACAGAAGAAAATCTTTAACCACAAACAAGATCCAAACACCATGACTGAGGATGCTGTAGATGTTCGGCTGGACGTGCACAATTCATGCACGGGCCTGGAGGCTTCTTCTGCTGTAACATCTGAGCCTTTTCACATTTAGCCACATTCTGTTCGAAACTGATGAAACATCTCTGAGGGTTCCTCTGAGGACCGAGGAACTCCCTGAAGAACCCCAAACCTTCTTGTGGGTTCAGCTGCACTGCAGACAGAAGCAATCAGCAGGTGGTGAAGGAGTGACTCGTCACATCAGACGTCCTCCGTCGGCTCCATTAACTCTGGTTTAAGAACAAAATGTCCTCTGAGTGGTTCAGTTTGTGTGTGTCCTTTGAGTGTTTTCTGATTCTTCTCACATTTTTGAACAGATTCAGGATTTGGATCACTGCTGAGTCATCTTTCACTGCTGGTTTTCTGTTTTTAATTTTTATGCATGTTTTTTAACAATATATTTCTGCAGACTTTGACCTATTTTACTCATTCTTATATGAAAACACAGCTCATTCAGGAGATGGGTGATATGATTTTTATATTTTGTAACTTTTATAATTTTCTGAATATTTACGTTCATTTACAAACACTTTCTCCATTAAAGACATTTAATGAAACATTTCCATTAAAGACGGAGATCTCCTTCAAATATTTATTAACCTTTGTTTTACCAGACACATCCCATTGAGATCACAGATCTCTTTTGCAAGGGAGGCCTGGGCCTGAAGGCAGCCTAACATGAATGTTTTTGGTCTTAGGTGAAAACCCACGCAAGCATGAGAAGAACATGCCAACTCCATATAGAAAGACCCGAGGTCCAACTAGGGATTGAACCCAGGACCTTCTTGCTGTGAGGCAACAGTCCTAACCACTGAGCCATCGTGATTTATAAACTTTGCTCTCTGAAATCTAATTCAGCAAACTGAATCTGTTTGTGTCTTCTTAAGCTACCGTACTTTTCCTCTTTAGTTAACCCAGGGGTCTGCAACCTAAACCACTAAACCACTAAATTAAACGTGTCCGGAGCTACAATACCTGCTGCAACTGGGACTCTCAACTGGTGGCCCATGGACCACTTTAAGTTTGTTGGAGGGTGCTTTTCTGGACAGTAAGGGTTATTTTATAAAACTAAAAATATCTAATGATTTTGAACATTTATTCATATTTTTACACTCTAAGACCAAATAAAAAACAAAATTCTTGTAAAGAAGGAAAAAAATAATATAGTTTTTGCCCAGTTGCAGACACCTGAGTTAGCATTTTACAAATCAGTTTCCAGCTATACTGGTTTTCAATTTTTAGCTAGATTCCTGCCACTTTTAGCCAATCTTTTGCTACTTTTAGCTAGTAATTAGCTGTTTTTAGTTTGAACGTAACCAATCACGGGCGTGTGGGCCATGACCACACCCAGTGCTTGAGTGCCTCACAGGTGTGGGGGACACGGGCCACAAGCAGCCAAACATTTCAAACATGAGGCTTTACCATGAGAAGTACGAGCCACAGACCAGACATTCCCTAACCCTTCACTACTTTTGCTTCTAGCTAGCTTTTTGATACTTTTGACTTTTAGTGAACATTTTGCTGCTTTAAAATTTAACTAACCTTTTGCTTTGCTTCTACCTACTGTTTTGCTACACTTTGCTTTGATGTAGCTTATTGCTACATTTCACTTTTAGTTACATATTTAGTTTTTGGCAATTGTGCTACTTTTGCTTTTGCCTTTTAGCTTTCAGCCAATGTTTTCTTTTGTTTTAGCTTTTGTCTAGCATTTTGCTACTTTTAGTTTGTAATCTGCTATTTTTAGATTTAACTTAATATTTTGCTTCTTTTACTGCTTTAGTTTTAAATTAGTTTTTTGATACTTTTAATTTTAACCAGCAATTAGTAATTTTATCTAGTGTTTTGCTACTTTTAGCTTTAAGCTAGCATTTTGCTACTATTTCAATACTTTAACTTTTAGCTAGTGCTTTGCAGCTTTTAGGTACAACCAGTTAGTTTCAGCTTCTTCAGCATTCTTGCTGCATTTTTTTGTAAAAATTTACTTTTGACTCCGAGCAGATCTGAAGCTGCAGTGTTGTCAAATCTGTGAAAATACTTCAGATTAAATATATTAAATAATAAATACATTAAACAAATAGAAGCACTTGGAGGTGACACACCTCCACCAGGACCCCGGGGTCACTCAGCACCATCTTGTGCACAGACAGACAAACCATCGTTAGCGAAAAGATAACCTCCTTAACGGAGGTAATAAATATGGTGAATAATAAGGCCTGTTGTTTTTCAGATGCCTACACGGACGAGGACCTGATGCTCTACTGGAAGAGCGGAGACGAGTCGCTCAGCACCGACGACAGAATCTCTCTGTCTCAGTTCCTGATCCAGAAGTTCCACACCACGTCTCGTTTGGCCTTCTACAGCAGCACAGGTACGTCGGGCTGATTTTCACCTCTGCAGGAGGCTGTAGGTGCGCCACGTCTTCTCTGCAGGAGGCTGCCAGCAGCTTGTGGAGCAATATAAAAAAGTAACCCTCCTTAATGAAATGCACATCATCTGCTGCCTTGCATGAGATCTCGGTGATCTGTTATTGTTTGGAATATGTAATGGAGATGCATCTCAGCTGATACCTCATCAAATTTTTATTTAAATTTGAAGATATAAGAATCTTTCTACTTACAACATAAACATAAACTGCAGGAATAACTGCGATTTAGCCAAATGGAGATTTGTTTCTTCTTCATATTAATTCACTTTGACAACATAATTAAAATGATAAAATAAAGTAAATGTAAGGTTTTTGTTAAAAATAATTGATTTATTTGAATTTCTGGAGTCACGTCTGGTTCTAAAAATCCACATCCGAGCAGAAAACAAACAGAAAAACAGAGAAATTCTTCAGCGATCAACAACAAACCAGACCGATTCAGTTGGGTTTTGATGAATATTTGATGGTTTGGTGTCGTGCTGTTTCACAAACAAGACTTGGTGAAATAAAAATCTGTCGCAAATCAGAACGTCTGACATCTTTTTGAACCAAAGTCTAAGCTGCCGTTAATGAATGAGCAGAGATGCCTGAGAAACAAAAAGCCTGCAGCAGGACTCGGCTGGTTCTGTAAGCCTCGGCTTGGGTCTGTTCTGTGTAAACCTTTTGGTGCGGTTCTGTTTGTGTGCATTTGCAGGCTGGTATAATCGTCTCTACATCAACTTCACGCTGCGGCGCCACATCTTCTTCTTCCTGCTGCAGACGTATTTTCCTGCCACGCTGATGGTGATGCTGTCCTGGGTGTCGTTCTGGATTGACCGGCGGGCCGTCCCGGCCAGAGTCTCTTTAGGTAGAGTAGAACTCCTGTCAGAAACATTTGGAGGAACCGATTCATACCAACATAGCTCCTGGACTTTATTTATAACTCAGTGATGACCCGTGTGCAGGTATCACCACGGTTCTGACCATGTCCACCATCATCACCGGGGTCAACGCCTCCATGCCCCGCGTGTCCTACATCAAGGCCGTGGACATCTACCTGTGGGTCAGCTTTGTCTTTGTCTTCCTCTCTGTGCTCGAGTATGCTGCCGTCAACTATCTGTCCACGGTCCAGGACCGCCGCGAGCGCAAGATGAGGGAGAGGGCCCGCTCTCAGGTGAGATATAACTGATCCAAGGTGGGTTCTAGCTGCTCTTACAAGGGTTCAGCTACTCTTTGGTGAGTTATAGCTAAACGTAGGTGAGTCATAGTTGATCTTAGGTGGGTTCAGCTGATTTTAAGTGGGTTCTAGCTGTGCTCACAAGTGTTCAGCTGCTTTCTGGCAGGTTCTAGCTTCTGTCAGATAGGTTACAGCTGCTGTTAGGTGGGTTCTAGCTGATCTCAGATGAGTTTTAGCTGCTGCCAGATGATTATAGCTGATCTCAGGTGAGTTATGGTTGTATCTACACAGTTCAAAGTGTTTGTCGGGTATGAATGTGTTTTCAGTAATATTCACCCCGCTGTGTGTCTGTTCCTACCAGTCGCTGCCTTGCACCTGCAGCATCTCCCAAACCAGAACCATGACCATGCTGGACGGCACCTACAGCGAGGCCGACACTAACAGCCTGGCCGGATACACTGAGGAGCCCATGGTTCCTGAGGACGAACTCGAAGAGAAGCACAAGGTCCCCGAGAAGTCGGAGCACATGGTGGTCCACCTGTCCATGAGCAGCGAGTCGGCCGCCATCAAGAAGAGGAAGAGTCTGCGAGCGCTCAACATCATCCAGAACACACACGCCATCGACAAATACTCCCGGATGATCTTCCCCGGGTCGTACATCTTCTTCAACCTGATCTACTGGTCGGTTTACTGCTGAGGGACACGAGGAGGTCCAGGAGGAGGACAAAGAGTCCAACACTATGAACATCACTCAGATGGACAGCGGGAGTCCAGCAGAACCTCTGGACACTCAGAGGTCTCTGACTGAAATCTGCGTCCTGATTTGTTCTTCCTCACGCAGCCGCTCGAATGTTCTTCATCGTTCCACCCGACAGCTACCAGAACCAACCGTAAACTCAGAGATGAATGTTTGGGTTCAGCCTCGGTGTGCGAAAACTGACAGGATTCACTTTGCTATTTGTTAGAGGAAGTTTTTACCGAGTGACGACAGAAACCAGAAAAGAACCAAACCTTGAAACACGATCCACTGTGGAAATAAATAAAATGCACCGATAACCTCCCCTAAAAAACAAACAGACAAACACAACGCGACAGAGCAGAGGAACCTGGAATCAAATCAGCTTTATCCCCCAGATTAGCTGAAGTTGAAGTAAAAACTGTAACAACTCAAGACTGCAGATTATTTCTGAGGGAGAAAATAATCCCCAAATAAATACAGTTTAATCCAGGTAAACTAAAAAATAATCCAACTAAATGCTGCTGTACACTCAGTTTGTTGGAGTGTCTCTTTGTTCTTCATGAAAACTGTTGAGGCTCTTGTGCAAACAACCAGAACAGAACCAGGAAGTGTTCTGTTCTCAGGTCCGGTCCGGTTAAACCCAAACCAAACAAGTTAAATAAATAAATACACACATCGCTGGATTTTTGTTATGTTCCATATTCACAGCAGAAAAAGGTTTAAGTGTTTCGTCAACATTCATGCACGTGCGAGCGTGCACGGAAACCAGCCCCAGCTGTGAGTTCAGTTTAGCTCAGGTTCATTTGAAGCTTTATTAATCCTGATTAGATGAACTCGCTTTGATGGGGCTGCAAACATTTCTATGATAAAACAAACTCACCAGTTTGAAATTATTAAAAACAATTTAAAAAAGTGTTTATTCACACAGCTGGACTCATTAAATCCACTTTGAAATTGAAAATCAGTTTTATAAAATCATTTCTGTTTTTGTGTAAAATATTCGACTTTCAAAATGTTCAAATTGTTTTTATCGACTCGTAAAAATGACAATGTATTCACAGCTGCTGTCTGCGGCTGCACATCTGTCTGTGGATCCACATCTGTTTGTGACTGCACATACATCTGAGGTGGCACATCTGTCTGCAGCTCTGCATCTGTCTGCGGCTGCACATCTGTGCAGCTCCATATCTATCTCAAGCTTTACATTAGTCTGCAACTGCACAGCTGTTTACAGCTGCACATTTGCAGTTGCACATCTGTCTGCATGTCTAGGTAATCATCTGTCTGCGGCTCTACATCTGTTTATAGCTTCTCATCTGTCTGTGGCTCCACATCTGTCTAGCTTCTCATCTGTCTGTGGCTCCACATCTGTCTATAGCTTCACATATGTCTGCAGCTGCACATCAGTCTGCAGCTGTACATCTGTCTGCAGCTGCATGTCTGTCTGCAGGTACTCATCTGTCTGTGGCTCCACGTCTGTCTATAGCTTCACATGTCTGCAGCTGCACATCAGTCTGCAGCTGTTAATCTGTTTGCAGCTACATGTCTTTCTGCAGCTGCATGTCTGTCTGCAGGTATTCATCTGTCTGTGGCTCCACATCTGTCTACGGCTCCACATCTGTCTCTGGCTTCACATCTGCCTGTGGCTACACGGCTGTATGCAGCTCCACATCTGTCTATAGCTTTCATCTGTCTCCTGTCTGCGGCTCCATATCCGTCTGCGGCTCTGCATCTGTCTGCAGCCCCACATCTGTCTGCGGCTCCACATCCTCTTTTATCTTTCAGCCTGCAGAGCTGAGCTGCTGGCAGGATGTTCTGACAGAGCTCCATTTTACGCCAAACTGAGGAGTCTTTAAACGTCTCACAGTCATGTTTGAATCTTCTGACTCTGCAAGTCTTACCACCTCTGATTGCTTTCAGCTGAGCAGAGTTGTTTCTCAAATCAACAGCTGAGAGTTGATTAGAACAGATGATCAGATGTTAAAAGTGCAGCTGTTGAACTGTATTTCTGAGGACCGATTTTACGCCTCACTATGAAACTGAGCTGTTTGACTGAATGTGTGTTTGTTGGTTAAATCTGACACTAATGAATGTTTCTGTGTTTACTAAGATGTATTAAATGTGATCATGAACATAAAACTGTCTGTTTTTAAGCTTCCTTTTCCACACTCATCAGTTTCATGTTACTCAGGTTTTAACATCAAGCAGATGTTGTATCAGTTGATGTATTCCATTTCCTGCTGAAAACTGGACCTGGATCAGTTTATCTAATATGAGAATCATGTGAACCATAAACTTATTGTTGTAGAGTAAAATTTAAACCAGTCATAAAATGTGTAGCCTGGGAACCATATATGAGCACAGAAATGATTTAGATCAGTAGTTTAATATAGCAAAACAGATAATCTTAAACTATACAAAATTGTTTGCGTTGTCAAAAATTGTATGAAATGTTAAAATAAATAAAAATTGTCATGAAGGCTCTGATTATTAAAAAGAGCAAAACCAAGAATAAATCTAAAGGTATTAAAGTTATAAACTGTACAAATTATTTATTTTACATGTCTTTAATAGCTCAGTTGTGCTTTTTTGTACACTGTTTTTTAATTATGTATTTTCTTATGTTATTAATATGGTATTTAAAAGATTTACCTACTTTTTGTATTTCTCTTTTTCTAAGCAAACTGTTTAAGTCCTTTGACCCAGAGAAGTAACAATGTTAGTGCTTATTTATAGCGTCACACAAGCTTACAATATAGTTTTAGAAGAAGTGAACAAATCTAAATAAAGAATTGTTTATTCAAAAACAAATGACAAAATAAAATTAATAGAACAGAATAACTAATACATTTATTTCGTATAGTTTAAAGCATACACGTAAATGTAATAAATTAAACAATAGAAATGCAGTTTTATTCTTTCAAAACAGATGGAATTCTCATATCAACAGAGATATAAAAAAGACAAGAAATGAGGCAAGAAATAAAACAAAACAGCATACAACAACAGTAAATCTCTATATACTGTATAAAATTTAACATAAAATACATAAAGTAATATATATGTAAATAAAATCTACATTTTTTGTTGTAATTTTATTCATGAGTGAAAACACATTTGTATTACTGCATTACTGAGTTTATAAACTTTGTTTCAAACATTCATAATAAAATATGATGCTTTTCATCGGTTTAATTGTTAACTAGTGAAAATGCATTTTATTTTAATTTTCATTTGATATCATTAGTTTTTATTTTCCCTCTTGTTCCTGCGAATCCATTTCCCCTCATCTTTACTTTTCTATTTTTAATTTATTATTATTATTATTTTTTTAACAAACTCGTCACAGCATTTGCTTCTTTCATTACTGTACTGTACTACGAACAGCTTCAGTGTCAATGCCCTTTCCGAGCGGTCCTTGAATGCAGCTCAAAGCTCCACTTCCGGTCTGCGTGAACTTTTCCGTCTTCTTCAAACAGGCGGAATCCTGGCCGGAAACTGAAACTGTAAGTGTTACTGTGTTTGTTTGGGAGCTGTTTACAAGCAGAACCACTGTTTTTTTGTTTATCAGAGCTGTTTACAGACAGATTCCCGGTAGCAGATCGCTGTGTATTTTTGTCGGTCACCTTTGATAAATCAGCTGTCAGATAATCTGCTTCCGGTTGACCTGCAGAGGTTCAATCTCAACTGTTTTACACAGGCGTTCAGAGTTTACCTGTCAGTCAAATACAGATGTTTCTGCGTCAAAACACACTTGACGTCACCGACTGAGTCACTCTCCCTGTTAATCACCGAAATTGTAGTTTTTTCCCGTACTTCCGGTTATGACTCGAGATCGCCGCCGCTGCAGAAGATCAGAATCAGTCTGATCTATTTTATGTTCAGATGAACCTCCTGACGTCAGGTTTAGGCTCTCATTCAGACCCAAATTTGGAGAAACACATGAAAGAGCTTAAATGGATATTTCAGGTTATTTAAAGTATTTATGATCAGTCAGTATCTTACCTGCAGCATTCACAGTATGCTCATTTTAGACAGGAAACAGGACGAGGTACGTTAGTCATGATCCTGATTTTTTTCTGCTTTATTTCATTAAAATAATGAAGAGTTCAAATATTAAAAAATGTGATAAATACAGATCGTGTGCTTTCAACTTGAAAAATGTAAATACAATTACGTCCTGCGATGCGCAACAATGAACGGTTTGTAGCTACAGTACATTTGGACCAAAAGGAGCAGAAATAAAATCTAAGATCAGCCTGACAGAAACATTTTGAGTCTTGAGTGAAAAACAGAAATCCTGCAGAGCTGGAGGCAACACGAGCAGAAAGAATGCTGCGGTGGGCAGAGTGAGTCATTCAGGAAGAAACAGCTCCACATTTGTTTCCCTCTTAAAGGGAAAAAAGAAGAGGAGTTTGGCTCCGCCCACTTTGTTTCTCTGCAGTTTAACTTTTCTGTTTAACAGCTTCTGAGGGAACACTGAGTTCCTGCTACATTTTGAAGGTCGCACATGGAACTTAGAGCATCTTTTAATCACTTCTGTACAAACTGCAGAAAATTACTTTAAGTTTTTGTTTTTTACCGAGAGCAGGAAAAAAAGAAGAATGCAGCATTTTCACTCTGAAGGTTTCTTAGTTGTTTAATAACAGATGAACCCTGAGAGATTCACAGCTGTCTGAAATATCTGAGCCTCTGTCCATGTCCTCAATCCGTTGCAGGTTCTGGCCCAGTCATGACCCAGCAGGAGTTCTCCGACTGCCTGAGGGCAGCCCTCACCTGGATGCAGGACGTCCAGGAGAGGCTGAAGGCCATCGATGACACTCAGGGTCCCCGCGACGCCCTGGAGGCCCGACTGAGAGAAACAGAGGTGAGACTTGATCCGAGCTGCAGCAGAAGATCTTTTAATTCATATTGGACACAAAAACACAGCCAGAAAACTTTGTAAATTGTGTAAAATGTTTATAAAAACTGAATGCAATAATTTGCATTCACACACTTTATCTGCTGTTTTAACTGATTCTGCTTGAGTTGATTCAGTTCGACTGAAATAAAACCTGAGTTGTGAGTTTTGGTGAGCCGCTCCCAGCCGGGCTCACGTTCTGCTCGGCATGTTGGAGTCGTCACACGTGTTGCAGCTCCTGCAGGCATCTGGTTAGAAAACGAGCTGCAGCTGTGAGTGATCGTCTCCTGCTCATGCAGCTGAGGAGAACATGAGCTGTTTCAGCTGCAGCTGAACCTCTCCCTCCTGCCTGTTCGGTGGAAACGAGGCAGAAGAACCCTTTTCCAAGTTTATGGGTTTGTTTTGGTTTTCTGTTTTACTTCTGCGCACGCCCCTGAGTGACACCCTGCGCAAGTATTCGTGCGATGATGTTAGAGTTCCTGAAAACTCTGCAGTGACCTCAAAAGAAGAAGTTGCTCTGAAGGTTCTTCATTACAACAAACTCTCTGAGATAAATCCACCTCATTCAGTCTGAACCTTCGGCTGCTGCAGAGCAGCGTCTTCTGAGCCCGGGGTCTGCAACCTGCAGCTGTTCGAACCCTTCAGAGGCTCTCTGGAGCGCCAGTCAAAACTATAAACACTTAAATTTATAACCAGAGGAGGAAAACGATAGGAATAAAAGACAAGTCACTCTGGAAACACCAAGAACTGAAAGAAGCAGTTCACCTTTGATTAAAACTTTGAACCAAACTGGAAGTAAATGACGGTTTATGAGAGGACATTTATCCAACAAACAGGCTTGTTTTAAAAAAAAATATTAATGTAGGATACTTCTATTAATTTTTCACAAACTTTAAAAAGTTCTGCATAGTTCAGTGTTTAGATTGTATCAAAGGAGCTACAGTAGTCCCTCACTACTTCACGGTTTGTTTTTTGTGGACTCGCTCTATTGCGTTTTTTCAAAATAAGATTGGACATGACACAATTGGCAGATTGATGGATGAGTCACACTATCGACATGGAATTTTTATTTAAAATTAATTATTTTAAATTATTTAGCACCTCCTGCACCTTTGTGCAGCCCACACAGCAGGAGAAACTTCCTCCTGCAGCTGATCAGCTGATCTCGGTGCAGAGCGGAGAAGTGGGCGTGGCCGAGAGTGCTTGCAGGTGGCAGAGTACTGAAATCATGACATTCTGTGCTCTTTTAGAGATTTTAGAGTTTAGAAACATTGTTTAGAATATTGCAAGAGTGTGGGAAGGGCTTTAAACACCTTTATATATATATATATATATATATATATATATATATATATAATGTATGTATAAATAATAAAATAAACCTACTTACTACTTGTACTACTATCCCTACTTCATGGTTTTTCACTTATCGCGGGACTTCAGGGTACGGATCCTCCATGATAAACGAGGGACTATTGTACACATATAAAATGTTCCTTCAACTTTATCAACAAAAGCATAAGAGGGTTTTTTTTTTCCAACGTTTGCACAAAGACATAAAAAGGACAAATTAGATAATTATAAATAAATTTAAAGTAAACAAATAATGATCAGTTTTTTTTATGACTTGGAACAAAACCCACAAAATATTATTTAATATACACAAAAGTCCATGCTCGATAATCCAGTTATAAAATCCAACATTCAGTCAGATCATCTGGATGGTTTCTTTTTTATTTTGTGCTGAGACGTTTCACCCTCCATCCAGAAGGCTTCTTCTGGCTTGTTTTGAACCAGTTTGACATGACTGTCGATGAGGGAGAGAGTGGGCACCAGAGACCATCTTAGCACCAACATAACTGTTTTTATTCCACTTTCAGTATCAGTTTTGTTTGGTGTTTCCTCAGACTGATGAAGCCTTCTGGATGAAGGGCAAAACGTCTCAACACAAAAGAAAAAACTGTCCAGATGACCTGACTGAACATTGTTGGATAATTTAATATATATATTTTTTGTTCTAAGGTGTAAAAGTACCTAAAACAGTTGGTTACATGTCTTAAATTGTATAATGTACAAACTATTTTTTTATACATAGTGTTTATTCAGCACTGACTGAGTTGAGTTATATATTTTTAGGTACGTTTTACAGTTCTGGACATATTTAATTTGGTAGAAAACGAAGCAGGAACGACTCTAGATTGTAGAAACTTTCCAGTAATCCTAAATCTCCAGGCTTTCTGAATGTTTCTGGACTTTGGCTGCTTTTTAACTTTTTAGTTTTCGTACCACGGCAGAAAATGATCCAGCAGTGTGTGTTTAAAGTCTGAAAGACCTGAGAGATGCCTCATCTTTCAGCTGTTTCCATCACACTGCTGTTTTAGAAATCATCTCGATGGAGCTTAAATCCTGTTTTCTGATTGACAAACATGGATCTTTTCTGTAGATCTAAGGAGTTTTTTTAAGGGTTAAACCTATTTTCACAACTTCGAGAAAAGTGTCTCTTGTGTATTCACTTCCAACGTTCTTCAGTCTCTCCCTCATGTTCCTCCATAAAGATTTTTAGTTCTTGTTCTGAACATCATGATGGAGGTTCATGTCCAGAATCCATCACTCTGATGATCAGATCCTTCTGGTTGCTGCTGCAGCTGATCGTCCTGTTTCCTCCTCTCTCTTTGTTGTTTTTCTGATTGATGCACAACCTCTGAACCACCTGAGTCTCAGCTGCAGCTTCTGCACCACAGCTTTATCACCTCCAGTTTCTCTTTTTTTTTAAAGCAAGAGGTTTGAAGAGAAGATCTAAGTGATAGTGTTCTGGACGTTTCCCCTGCAGGTGTGCGTTTTACTTCCTGTCCTAAGTTTTCCTGCCTCTTGTGCAGAAAATCCATCAGTCGGTGCATGAAGGCCAGCTCAGGATGGACCAGGTCATGGTTGCGGCGGAGAACCTCCTGCAGAACGGAGATGAAGAGCTGAGGAGCAGCACCAACGCCAAGCTGAAGGAGCTGAAGAGCCTGTGGGAGGACACCAGCACCTACATCGTTCACTGCCACAGGTAACCTGCTGTCAGGTGACCCTCGGCGTCAGATTTAGATCCAAAAGCTTTTAAGTGTGAAAAATGTCGAAGAGCGAATGTGTGGAGCAGATAACGAGCAGAGAGGTAAATAAATGTCACGTTGTCAGCATGGAGTTGACTTTAAATGTCAACAGTCCCAGATTTTACTTCAAATGTCGTTTCAGCGTGAAAGATTAAACTGTGACATGCGTGCGCTCTGAAATAACTTCCACTCTAAATGTTTTTGTAGCTCCGAGCAGAAAATAACCTCCGACCTGCTGAGAGCGGAGATGAAACAAGTCGCGAATCAGAGACGTGTTGGTTAAACAACAAATAAAATATTTAAATGGTAGGAGTTTAATAAAAAAACCGAAGGTGAACTGATGGATTCTACAGGAAACTTCAAAGGCTTCTGATGTTTGTTTTAATCCCACGAGCAGCTGATATGTTAAAGACTTTCACCGAAAGAATAAATAAATTCAGTTTGTTGAATCACAGCTTTCATTAAACCTCATAAATTATCAGCTTCAAGTGGAATTTAAAGAAGTAAATCCAGTTTCCTGGGGTGGAAGATAAACAGGAAGAAGTTTGATGCTTTAAGTGAATTCAAATGGGTGGGGCTTTTTGTGGGCGGAGCTTCTGATGCTTATTTTAAATCCACGTTGAGTCAGAACTGACTGCAGCTGCTGTTTATGACATGGATGATGCATTTTTCATGTAAGATTTTACATTTCTGAGCAGAAAGTTTTCCCAACACTCCCATCATTTCCATCCTGTTCTCACAAAATTGTCTTCCAGATTTCCAAACATTCCCATCATGTTTTACCTCATCAGTGACATCATGTTTGCACTATTCATGCTTTCCCAACATTCCTGTTCTGATTTTCTAACATTCTCATATGTATTACCAACCCATTTTGTTTTATCAGTATTCCCTCCGTGTTTACCAACATTCTCAGCCTTTTTCGACATTCCTTTCCCGTTTTTCCCAACTTCTGTCTTTTTACCCTATTTCCATCCTCTTTTCTCAAAATTCCTGTCCATTTTTTCACAACTTTCCAATTCTTTTTTCCTTTATATGCTTGTCCTGTTTTTCCAACATTTCCATCTTGCATTTTGCTATATTCATCTTGTTTTTCTCAAAATTCCTGTTCTGATTTTCCTATTATTCCCATCCTGTTTTCCAGCATTCCTGTCCTCTTATCTCATCATTTCCCTCTTGTTTTCCCAATATTCTTGGTCTTTTTATTCTTAGTTTCTTGTCCTTTTCCTCAATGTCTTCATTCTTCTGAAGCCCCACTATAAGTGAAAAACCGCAACGAATGAATAGTATCGGTAGTACAATAGTAAGTAGTAGTTAACTTTATATATATATATATATATATAAAGTTAA